TATTTGACACAGACCATAGGTGTTCATTAGAGTAGAGGTGAAATAATGCATAAACTTCCTCGTTTCTACTAAAATGCCAACCTTTATGTGTGAGTTTGTTTACTAGCTGTTTCAACTACAGATAGTAAGTATCCAGGTAAAATTACTGACCTCCTTTCCCTCTGTCCGAGGTACTGTTCACAAGTGAGGACTAAGCCTTCTTTTAATTCCACCCTCATCCATAATCCTCTTATGGATCCCACACAAGCTCTGAATACACAAGGTACAAGAATGCTTGCAGTTTTCGACACCTTATAATCACAAAGACTATCTGGAACTCGATTAAATGAATATCACATCATTTACTCAAAGAAATATTTCAGTATTTCTACAGAACTTAATGTCATTTATATCTGGAAGTTATTTTAGGCAATAATTTGAACACATCCCTGCCAAAAGGGGGGGGGGCATGAAACAAATTTTTGCACAGGAAACCTTAAATTCTTTTTACAGATACAGAAGAATGGCTAGGTACTTAAACATAACCTGTTGAAGGTTTCAGCAACGGTTCAAGGCCATGAATATAATGTCATGGCTTTTGTCACTCGGCTTCAGTTTTAGAGTCACGGAGCTCTGGTCTCACCCAGGTTGACTGGAGGAATGGTGTTCCTTAAAAATCTCTTTGCTCCTTACCACCAGCATCTCATGTCTCTGAGGGCTCTAAGATAAAGTGGCTAAGTTTGTCTGCCTCAGGTTGGAATGGCGACTGTGGATACAATGCGATATAACCGTTAGGAATATTCTTCCCCCTGCCCATCAGTAAAGTCTGTATGGTGGAAGCATGTCTCTTGTGAGAACATCCCTCCAGCAGGGATTTCAGTCCTGAATAACCTCCTTGTTGCCTGCCCTATCCACTTTTCTAATAAGTATTATTTGTTTTATTCAAGGTCTGAGGCACTGAATGCCAAAAATGTAAAGCAGGGTGAAAGAACTATTATAAAAATCAATCAAATGAAACCAATTTGGATTTTTAAGTCTATCATTTTCTTCAATAAACAAATTATTTTGATACTGGCAAAATTGCATCCTGGAAAATTGTCTCCTGAATTAATTTCATAGAAGTTACTTAGATTCCTTCAGTTGCACAATGAACATAACTTTTCTCTTGAGTCAAGAACAAGAACAAATACCAGGTCGGCACCTCTGTCCCTATGTATTGAAACGCTGGATGTGGCAGGAGATTCCTTATGTAACCAAGTCTGCACTAAAGGGTAAGAACTCATTTTACTTATCTGTCACAATGTTCCTTCTCCTGCTGTCACCTTCCTCAGGATTAACTTAAATGCTGCCCCACCCCTTCTAACCACACTTTTCTCTATGGAATGCTTACTTTAGTAGAATTTGACAAAGATGTCTGCTCTTCATACGAGCCAGGAATAAGTCTGTTTTTTACTCTCAGTTGCTTTGATTTCTTTCTTGGTAAACACCAACGCCCATAGCAAAACTACAAATCAGGACAAACAGACTTCAGGTAAACTAGATCTTTCTAGGTCCTCTGTGTGGGTGACTCAAAAGCAACTAGAGTTATTATTAAGTTATCCAACGGGGGCAGCCTACAAGGCTCAGAACAAGAGCATCTGTCACCAACGTGGGAACAAAGTTTCCACAGGACACTGAGAACTACCTGTCTGTTTTCGCGTCAGGGACCCTACACCTATGTAGGACACGTGTTATAAAGGACCAACAATGGAAGAAACTCTCAGGTACCTAACCAATAGGAATGTACAGAGAAATCCAATGGTAAGTAATCCAGGAGGTACTTTGTCTAGAAATACTATCTATAACTCAGAGACAGTGATGTTAGTTAGTTGGAAACACCGGAAAATGGAGCAGTTCCTTCAGATTCTGTTTGTTCTGGGTAGCTTGTGAGTAACGATAAGATCCTATCAAGTCCAATTCCAGAATGGTCTTCTCCTTAGTCAAGAAGGGAACATGTCACATTCATCTAAGTGCAAAACCTCAGGTAGGACAGTGTCTTCTGGATCACCAGGATCAGATGAAGCATGTTACGGAATAACACCTCTCAGTTATAAATCTGCTGAGTCTAAATCAGACATATTTATATAGAGACCATGAGCAGCTGGTTCAGAGGTACCTAAAGGCTAGAGTTTACACTATGCCTCAGTCACCTAAGTTAACGTAAAACCATATGTTTTAGGAACGTGTTCCATGGGAAGCAGTGACGCACAGATACACTAGATAATCAAGAAATTGTGGGGGAAATATTTCTTAGCAAAAGTGCCACAACTCTGATGATTGCTTTTAATTTCAACAGAATAACGTGACCAGTGTAATGCAAAATACATAGAAATCTAAAACATAACACGCAGAGCCAAGGTTCAAATAACATATTTTCACTTCGAAAATTGTCACATTAACAAAAGACTTAATCGCATCACAATGACATTTTAAATTCTAAGCCTCTGAAAAGTGATTGTATGAAAAATAATTGTATCACCACCAGTTTAGACAGAAGGAGCAAAAGGTGTCATTAACATAGAGGGAGAGCTAAGAAACGTGCCACAGGAACAATGAAAAGGATAGTACATTTCGCCGTCCAAATTGCTTGAAGGTAATACAAAGCAGGGACGCATCATCAGAGGTGCCGCCAAGCTGCTCAAGCAAAGGCAAACAAAACTCCAAATAAGCATATTCACAGCATGCAGCCAACTCGAACACATGGGTCATAATTGGGGAAGCACTTCCTAGTTCAGGAGCAATTACAAAAATTATTAGACTCTTTTTAATAGGAGAATCAAAAACAGAATTTTCCCATAAACGTTTCCAAAAAGATCCAAACCATTTAACCTCTATCATGTTAAATATCAATAGAAAAGTAAATCTGTTACGTCAGTGGTCCCATCAGATAAAGTAGATAAAGTTTCCCCAACAAAACATTATTCACTCATTTTTTTAAAAAAAAATGTGTGGGAAAAAAGGAAGTAGAGAAGTAGAGAATTGGAGAGAGAGAGAATCATTCATAAAAGTCCAATTCCTCACCTATGGGGTTTCTTTAGCTCAGCTAGAGAAAGCACACACATGTCATTGCTTTGGCTCCTTCCAAAAATAAGCTATGATTGTCTGGAGTGAAAATAGTCCTAGAAAAGTAACAACAGAGCCTGGTCACCAAGAAGTCCTTTCTCTACTCACAAGATTGGTGCTTTTAGGCAGGAGCTCTGAGCTGTCAAACAACACCCCAGAAACTCCTACGACGTGTCTCTGATGGAAATGTAAGTCAAGGGCAAAGACATCATTCCCGTATTTGAACATCGATTTTAAAACTCTTCTTGTGACAGAGTTAAGCAAAACCATGATTCTAACAGTTTACTGAAGTCCCTCTCTGTGGCATGAGATAACTTTATGAAGAGCTAAAACGGAGATAGTGCTACAGGACAAATATTTTATTACCTCAGACTACAGTGCTGAATAGGGCAACATTTAATAACATACATGGCAACTTCTTTAGTGACATGTACTTCACTTGGCTGGTTGCTAGTCACTTGACTCTACAACAGTGATAATACAGCAGTTTAGGAATATTTTAAAAACCCCAACAAAGTCTACTACTCTAATCTTGAATGAAAGACTTCAGGTTAAAATACATCATTTCCAGGATTCATAATTATAAGTGATAGCCCCAGATGAGGAGGACCTGTTAGCATCTCCCCATGGACATAGCCAAGAAGATTTATCGCCTAAGTCACCTATCTCAACATCTCATTCAATGCACAGGAGCGATGATAGATGCATTTCTGTCCTCGTTTCCAGGAGACAGCCGTGACTGCCAAGTTAAATCGGAGAACAAGTATGGGTCCTCTAATATAAGAGTCTGTATTAAACGTGAAGGCAGAGCCCCGGATGTGCACTCCACAGACCCCCAAAAAATAAATCAGAAAGAGAAGAAAACGTACAAAACTTCAAAATCCACCCAGAGACAGTCAGAAACAGAAGCTATGGTCTTTGAAAAGTGACCTTCACAAATCAGTTTTGGGTTTGTTTTTTTCCCATTTTCTTTCACAGTTTAAGCCTCAATCAAATCAGCGGTCTCTGGGGATTTTAAAATTGTTGTAGATTAAAATCCTCTCGGACTCAACTGTCTCCCTAATGCCAAGTATTTAATAATTCTACTTGTAAGGGACGTTTTTGATGAAACCCTGCTGTGGGCTATCTTCAGATGCTCAGCAGCTGCTCCACAATATGAAGCACTGCTGTCCTTATTTTCTTTATCACTCCATCTGGAGATGAGAAAATTATTGCAAACAGTTTCTATATTTGGCAGAGCTGGCAGAAAACAGCTTTACAATACTGATGCAGCAACTCTCACCTAACCGAGGCAGAGACCAACTTCCAGGTACTAATGATACATATTCCTGGCGTGGGCCCAAGGATAGGAAGTTAATAACTGTGATAGATAGACTAGAGCTAAGTTAATGAATTTCTAAATTTTATGCTTTCAATAATAGGGCCGTTTAAGCCTCAGCATTTGGACTCTCTCCTTCCACAGATCAGGCACTTTGATACTCAACAGGTTGAGTAAATTGAATCCATATATTGTATTTACGTTCTCTGTCAAGGTTGCTTCTCCACATTTGAAAGATCAAAGGCAAAGCAGTCATCAACCCTGTAGCCTTCAATACTGTGTTCATTACATTTAATCAAGTGCCAACTCCACCGCATCATCCACCAACCTCAGCAATATTTAAATGCACGGCACTGTTCAGCAACAAATGTTGGCATAGTATTGTTTCAAAACACACACACACACACACACACACACACACACACACACACACACACACACACACACACACACCCTCGAGCGCGCAAGCACATACGTCCTAAAGCAAAACTAAAAACAAAGCGAGAAAGGTAAAATATTATCATTCTTTACACTGTGCAAGAAAAAGAAATTTAAAAATGCACAGAACTACCCAAAAAACATTTTGGAGGTAGTTTTCTACCTGAGGCAGCATCAATCACGGTGGAAATTCCTCTTCGATCTGAGACTGGACGGGATGACCCTGGCATGCTGACTGGGTCAGAGCGGACCGGCTGGATCCTGCAATGCAATTTAATTTAATTCACATATGTTACTGGCATCAAAACTGTCGCTTGCTACATCAGACCTTAAATCAGGAATGCTGGCATAGCCCAATCCATTAAAGAACCATTCATTCTGAAGTAGGGCAAACAGAGGAGCTGTGGTCCCTAACTCTTGCACAAGGCACAGCAAAAATTTTCTACACTCCTGACCCCCCCCCTTCTCTTTGTATGTTATTTAATATATTTTAAGTAAGGGATTGGAAATTTGACATTAATCTAAAGAAATAAATTAAGTAGATTGGGAGAGGAAACAAAATACTTCCTACAGAGACCTTTGGCTTCTGCAAGAGGCAAATATGAAGAGTTCTGAGAATCCTCTCATTCAAGGAAAGTGCAGTAACTAGCAATGCTTCTAGAAAAGGCAGCAATACTCGATACACATTTTTAAAAAAATATTTTATTGATTTTTACAGAGACAGGGATAGAGAGTTAGAAACATTGATGAGAGAGAAACATTGATCAGCTGCCTCCTCACACCCCCTACTGGGTATGTGCCCGCAACCAAGGTACATGCCCTTGACCGGAATCGAACCTGGGACCCTCGAGTCCCCAGCCTGACGCTCTATCCACTGAGCAAAACTGGTTAGGGCTTGATACACATTTTTTAGTAACTGCCTTAAACCTCTCAGTGAAAGTTACTTTATACATGACAATAAGCAAAGGACAGCAAAACTGTGTTGAAGGTCACTGCCAGGGGTTTAGCTAGGATCACTACTATCTGAGTTACCTCCATAAAATTATCAATTAGCATGAAAGAATCAATTAGAATCCCAGCAAAACTGCAATTTACTAAATACAATTTCAAATTGCTTATGAATGGTAAATCCATAAATAACAAGGGTCTATTTCTAGCTGTATTATCTTAATAACGTGAACATAAAAATATCTGTATGACTAAAAAAATCCGAGCTTCCTAAGCAACTTAATAGAATAAAAACTTGCTATAAGAATATATGCCTGCATTTGGAACTTTATTTATTCAATAAGTATTTGCTGAATATTAGTCATGTATCATTATTATTCTAGGAATAAGCAGAAACAAAACGTGAAATACAAGATCTATGTGTGAATATATGGTATAGCACATGGGCATTTATGACTGAGGCAAAAGACAACTAACATGTCAAAATGAAGAAGGTAATAAAGGCTCCAAATTGAGAAGTAGAGGAATGAATGAATGGTCCACAGCGGACGGAGAAGAGTTTGTCAAGGGGTAACAGGAATTGCACCTGCATACAGTAATTGGGTATGTATACATGCAGAGGAGCAAGAGGTGCCCATTAAGCACAGAACTAGGACAAGCAAGCCCTTGGATTTGTGACTCAGCATGAGAAATGCAGGTGCCATGAGGAGCATGATTTGACTGAAGCATGGAGTTCAGAGTGGATACTGATGGAAGAGAAGAGGTTGATAATCACCATGGGACAGATTACACAAGCCTAAAATGCCAAGTATGAACTGCAGAAAAAGAGTTCATAGCTACTGAAAACACAGTTTAAATGTGTATGTATCTGTTATACAAAAGAAATGGGAGGGAGGTGAAGTGCAAATCCATTTGATGGAGTACCAGAAGTTGGAATGTTGTTATTAAACACTGATCACTGCTATCGTGGGCAGTGTGGTGTATGACCCAATACCCATTCACCCCAGCTTATTTTACCTAAGCCAAGGGAAAATGGTTAGGGCAGAGAAAAGAGGAAGAGTTTATTTGAAATTTCTGCAAAAGATGTTTTCTGATTCTTGAGAGAAACAAAAAGATAGTCTATGGTCAGGTGAGGCAAAGTAAGCCCCCGCCTGGTCTCAAAAACTTATGTAGCCTAATAAGTATCCTAATATTCATTCAATTTATAGTAGAGTTTCTAAATAATCCAGAGTTGGGAGTGAGGTGTGGATGGTGCTATGGATGAAACAAGACTGGTCAAGAATCGATGTGATGAAGCTGGGTGACAAACACATGGGGTTTATTCTATTATTCTCTTTAATGTTATACATGTTTATATGCTTAAAATCTATAATAATAAAAGGGTAATATGCTAATTAGACCAGATGTCATTCCGGATGAAGCCAGGGCCGGAGGGAAGCCCGGGTCCCGGGTGCCAGAGGGAAGCCGGTGCCGGCAGCTGGGGGAAGGAAGGCCTACTCTTGCAAAAATTGTGTGCATTGGGCCTCTAGTTTTTTCATAATAAGAAAAGAGAAAAATAAAAACAAACTGACAGAGGTGGTGGAAGTGTCCTGGCATTAAATAGTGGGGATGTTGAATTGCACAGTGAATTTTATGGATTTTTTTTTTAATTTTATTTTTTGGCCTTTTCATTTATTGAATTTACTGGGGTGACACTGGTTAATAACATGATATAGGTTTCAGGTGTACAACTAGCTAACCAATAGTGGGAGCTCTTTAGTGTGAGGAGAAGGAAAGTCCCTGAGGAAATTCTGGAAGCGTTTCAGGAAAGTGGCATTGGGAAATATAATTCGAAACACATTGTATCCAATGAGATCTCACATGAGATCCCCAAGGATAAGGAATCACAAAATACAGAGCATGAATTCTGCAACAGGGCGCTGTGCCCGAATGGAGAAATGTAAATGTTGCTGAAGATGCTCGTTACAAATGAAAGTTCTAACCCAGTCAAATGACTCTGCTAGTTCTTACTTCTTACCTGAGACTGTTGAGATCAAGATCATCCGTATCAAAATCCATAAGGGGCTGTGGAGTATCACTGGGACCGTGAGACTGCAACACTGATGAACTGGACGATATGACTGTGGTCTGGCCTGAGGGGTGGATGGTTTTGAACTGGAACTGTGGGCCCATCCACAGACGCCTGTGGGGTCCAGTGTGCGTCACAATCTCTACCTGGAACAGATTAGGAATCATGATTTAAATGTGGTAGGACCTTTAAGAGCCTTTCATAATCCGCCCCCTTCCTGTCCCTGAACACAAATATTCTCCAAGAAGTTCATTTTGACCAAGTGAAGGAGGGCCAGGGCACCCACAATCAAAAGGCGAAGATAATCACAGCCTAAGCAGACATTCACTATCTCCCTCTTAGAGGTTTTCACAAAAATAAAAAAAATTCATTTTGTGCATATATACGTGTCTATACACACACGTAAATATACACATACACCAGACCCACACATATACAAAACAAAAATCACATGAGAGTAAAAAGACCAGCCACCTGTCTCACATGACTAGAGTCAACTCCCTAGGAACTACCTTTCTCATTCGTTCTAGACAGTACTTACCACTCTGGGCATGCACTGAGTACTGCACCTATAAATCCACATTAAAAGTGAATCCTGCACTGAGGACCAAGCTCATGACAAGCTTGAAGTTATTCTTAAACTATCCAAGGGGGGAAAAATAGATATAAAATAATTTTCACCACCCAAAGCTCCATTTAAATATTATAATATTTATTAACTCCTCTCAAAATACCCCATAATCCACTTTTATATTAAGAGAATGTTTTCTCAGCTACCACAAACAGTGACACAGGTATTTTAAAGGCCACAAAACAGTAAAACCAAAATGCTGTGTGAATTTCATGCTTAGTCTATGGAGGGGGTCTGGGAATGCTGCCAATATTAAATGAAACTATTTAAAGAGAAAGCAGAGTAGAAGACACTGGGTAAAACTTGAAAACAAACGTAGTATGTAATTTTACAAATGAGCAACGTGAGTAAGACGCACATATGCAAATCTTTGGTGAAAGACTATTTCTCAATGTCTTCTAATTGCTACATCCATGTCTATAAACGTACTTGATAGAACTGACTTCCCATATGCCTTCCTTTTGCCCTGAGTTCCTCTATATTTAATCACATGTCTCTGATTGCGGTGCTTAATTCTTAACAAAACATAACTGAAAAGGTTCACAGAGTACAGCTCTGGGTTTGTAAGTTCTGAAGGGCAAAAAAAGCATCATGCTCTTGGAACAATATTCACATTCTCGCTAATCACCGGGAGACAACCACTCAGATTTAGGACAGTGATTTCTGAGTTGAGTAGTTGTATTCAGCAATGGAAATTAGGCCACAGAGAAAGCATGCTGCGTGTTTTGAGCTCAAAACCATCAGTGTCACAGAGCCGAGAGGTAAACAGATGCCCGCGCAATTTCACAGAGGCGATGGCCAGATGTTCCTATTCACTCCCCTGTTGTGTGCGGGACAAACATATTGTATGGATGTTCACACTGACAGCACACATTACCCCTTTTCCTAATTGAAAAGTTGAGGTGAAGGACAGTGGTTTCTCTGTCAGCCGTCTTCTGTTTTTTGTTGTGTTGTTTTTTTTTACTTTATTGTGTTATCCTCATGAAAGGATGTCCCTCTATCTGCCAGGAACTGAAACACTGAACCTCCTTCAAGGAGCGTCCCGTGAGTATTTTAGGCGTGATGACATGTGTCACCTAGAAGCAATTTGTTTCTCCAGCGTCCAGATTCCGGTTAGCTTTTCGGGCAACCCTCCCTGTGAAAGCAGTAAACCGGCCGCCAGCCTCCGCCGAGGCACCTGTCTGATGAAAAGCCGCTGGATTGGTAATCGGAGACAGGTCGTTCGCTTCACCGAATGATGTCAGCTTTGAAGCAGACATAACAGGATTTGTAATGAAGTCATTTGTAATCTCATCATTTTGAGGGCTGCCCAAGTATCTTTTATTTCAAAGCCCTGAGATGAAGACAGCTTCACCTGGCACGAGAGGAAGGGTCTGTAGAAGCTGCTGCAGGGCTACTGTAGAGACCGCTGGATGCAGCCCTGCATGAGCAGAGGAGAGGAAACCCACTCGGGCAAAACCAGGACTCGCAGATTAGAATGCTGAGCTTCCCCGACCAAAGTATGGGCCCGATTTTCAGAAAATGTTGGCCCCACAAAACAAATCCCAGGGAATGCGGAATGACTTCACTGTTTTCACAAGGCCAATTCTTATGTTAATCCAAAGTGTCCATCTAAAACCCAAGGTCCTCAGGGATATAAACGGATTGCTTGAAAGATGTGTATTTTATGCCCTCTGCACGAAAGCTAATGCACACACACACAGAGGGCATAAAATAATAAGTGTTATATATTCCTGCAACAGTATTTAGGAAAAATTCTTAATATGGAAAGACAACTGACTAGCTTATTAACAGTCCTAAATAAAAGGTCCCAGTTCTGTCCATTTTCCTCTAAGGAAAATACTTTTTAAAATTCAAGAATAGAAACAGACAATGGATTCCTTTTTTTTTTTCACTCTAACAGGCCAAACATTTCAGAGTTTTACCTGAGAAAGCCATTCTTCATCTTCCTGTCCACTGTGGTCGGAAGCTAAACTGTCATAGGACCCGTGCCGAGTAATGGGCCCAGGACTTCCAGGGGGAACCACTAGAAGAAAAAGAAAACATAGGAGTATAGGAGGTGTGTGCACGCATGGAATATCTGTACAGCCAAGCTTCCCGGCCGGCTGCTGCCTCCTCTCAAGGCAACAAAGTTTCAATTATAGAAGGTAAATAAACCCCAGATACCTGCTTCCAGTCGCCATGGCCACGGAGCTGGAACAAATAAAAAAAATTAAAAAAAAAGGCAAGGCTGGGAGCTTTGGTCACCAGGGGGCTTGGTCAGTCTGAAAACAGGCATCAGCCCCTCACCCAGGCTGGCCAGGCACCCCAGTGGGGACCCCCACCCTGAAGGGGGTTTGGGGAGCCTGAAAACTGCCCTCAGCCCCTCACCCAGGCTGGCCAAACCCCCATGGGGTGAGGGTCCCCACTGGGGGGCTTGACCAGCCTGCAAACAGCCATTAGCCCCTCACCCAGGCTGGCCAGGCACCCCAGCGGGACCCCCACCCTGATCCAGGACACCCTTCAGGGCAAACCAGACGGCCCCCAGCTGTGCACCAGGCCTCTATTCTATATAATAAAAAGGTGATATGCAAATTGACCCTTAACAGCAGACGACTGGGAATGACTGGTCACTATGACACACACTGACCACCAGGGGGCAGATGCTCAATGCAGGAGCTGCCCC